TAAGATAATAGCACTAGGTACAAACGACAATTTGTGTCGCTTTGTCTTCACTGCAGTCATTTTATAACGACGACCTGATGGAAGCAGTTGAAAATCGTTAAAGAGAGGATGATCTGAACACAACAGGACAGAGGTTGCCTTCCTCAGCACCTGCCTGTTATAAAAGTCCACAAGCTGGACCTGAGACCTCCCTGAAATCTTGCCCGCCACTTTAACCAGATTGTTAAGTCTGGTCTTATTATCCATGGACATACTACCGTACCAAGCAATGATACAGAAAGTTAAAACAGATTCAATAAAACTTTTATAAAAGAGAGTCATCATTTCAGATGAAACATTAAAACCTCTCAACCTCCTTAAAAAGTCTTTGTTGGGCCTTTTTCACTGTAGCAGCAAGATGTGACTCAAAGGACAGGGTCTTATCAAGAACAACCCCCAAGTACTTGTAACTATCCACCATTTCAATGGCTGCACCATTTACCACTGTAAGCGCAGGATGAGGGGATGACTTCCTGAAATCAATAACCATGTCCTTGGTTTTCAAGGTGTTAATCATTAAGAAGGACTGATCACACCATGAAACAAACTCCTCCACAACAGGCCCATGGGAATCCTCTTCACCATGAAGGAGGCTTACAATGACTGTGTCATCTGCGTATTTGATGAAATGCCTATTGGCCTGTGTGCTGCGACAGTCATTAGTGTACAAAATATACAAAAGAGGAGAGAGACAACAACCTTGTGGTGAGCCAGTGGAAGAGTTCAGCTGTTTGGAAAAACAGCCGTTTATTCTCACACACTGTGATCTATCAGTTAAGAAGTCTAAGATCCAACCAACGAGATTAAAATTAAGTTTAAATTGGTTAAGAAGCTTGTCCACTAAAAGATGTGGCTGGATAGTATTAAAAGCAGAAGAAAAATCGATAAATAAAAGCCGAGCATGAGCTTTGGCGCCATCAAGATGGCGATAAAGGAAGTTCAACAGAGTGACCACTGCATCATCCACACCTCTACAAGGCCTGTATGCAAATTGTAGTGGATCTATCAGCTTCTCTACTTGCTGCAGGATCTCCTTCCTGACAAGTTTTTCGAAGGACTTCATCACTAAAGATGTAAGAGCAACAGGCCTAAAATCATTTAATGATGTAGGTTTTGTGGTCTTAGCAACTGGAGAAATAATTGATTTTTTCCATACCTCTGGAACCTTCTGTTGCTGAAGAGATAAAAGAAAGATGTGATAAAAAATACCACATAATTGCTCAGCGCATGTTCTAAGCACCTGGCCACATATATTATCAGGACCTGGACTTTTATTAGTCTTACTCATTTTAAAAAGATTTCCCACCCTTCTTTCATCAAAGAACAAAACTGGGGGGCCTCTGGTGCTCTCTATTAAGGAATCAAGTGTATTCCTTGGAATATAGTTATCATTAAATCTCGAATAAAATCTGTTCAGCTCATTGGCTAACTGAAAATCTGAACTAAAACCAGGGAGACTTATCTTATTACAGTCACTGAGACAGTGACCAGTCATGTGTTTCATGCCAGCCCAAGCCACCCTTAAGTTATTGCTACCCATCTCCGCCTCTACCTTATCCTTGTATTTTATTTTAGCTTTTTTAATTTCTGATCTAATCTCCTTCCTAATTTCTCTGACTTTCAAGGTATTCCCTTCAGTAAAAGCTTTATTCCTTTCGTAAATCAGCCTCGTAAGAACTTTAGAGGACCATGGTTTGTTATTAGGGAAAGAATTCACAACCTTTGAGGGAATAATCATGTCTCTACAAAAGGATATATATCCGCAGACAACGTCACGTAAATGTGCAACATTCAAATGCAGTTCATCTAATTTACTCCTCAGAGACTGCACATTAGCCAGGATTATTGATGGTAAAGGAATACGGTTGTACCGTATTTGCTTCCGCAATCGCTGACGTAGGCCTCCCTTCTTACCCCGCTTCCTTGCTTTGACTCTGTTAAAAACAAAAGTGCCCCTGTGATTACTGGATAATCCAGAGCTGGAAAACACTGGAGGGTGAAAAGAGTCCAAAGACGGGCCTGTCCACCGAAGATCCAGAAGAAACTCCCGTGAGTATGTAATTGTGTGGGAGTAGCACTGACTCCAAACAACCGTCAGGATTGCCAATAAAACCAAGCGAAATAAAAAACCCATCTTCAACAAAAGAAGTTCCACAAAGCACAAGCCGATGCTGTAGGATTTCCTCAGGCAAAAAAAAGAAAGAAAAATAAGATAAAATAAAGGAATAAAAAATAAGTTAAGACACTGACACTGACAGACAGAGACCTACCTGGGGTTGAAAGTCTCGACAGGGGCGGATCTAGAAAAATCTTCTTATGGCGGCATGAGGGTGGCAAAGAAATCAAATGGAGGGGAAAACAAAGCCTTTTTTTTCAGGACCATGACATGCAGGTGGTTACATATGGTTAAAATGATTCAAATGCACTAAGTATGCATGTTTTTCATATCAATATAGTCCATAACTTGATTACTGTCTGTAGCCCACATGATTAAACACTTTAGTTACATAAAACATGTGAGGTTAGATTTTATCTACTGTATAGCCTGTCGTGTTTTCAATAAAACATCCGTAGTAGTTAGCAAGCTTCTTTATTTTTAACGTGGCTCACATCCATGTACGTAAACATAACCTGCCGCTGCTTCTGCAACACAGTATATATCACAATTTGGTTAGACAGCCCCCTAGTGGTAAAGCTGAACTACCCACATAACTCCTATCAACACATCCCCTTTTCTTTAGATGTTATCTGCTGAACAACACTGTGGAAACATACCTAACATTGCATAGCTTGAATAACATCACAAACACTTGTGACAGTGTAAACTACGGAACACACAATAATGCAGAAAGTTCCTTATTGATATATGTATATATATCTAGCTATATATGTATACACCAACATATACATATATATATATGTATGCTTAAAGGTTTAGTCTATCAGGTGGCTTGATAGAGCGTGCTGATCTTCTGACAATGGGTGACTGGTCTCTTTGCTCCACACTGTCCTTCACGGGTGTTGTTGGTTCAGGTGGTGTGTTGTTGTCATCACACTGTCCTTCCGATGGTCCCATTGTCTTTTGAGTGTACAGTAAACTCCTCCGATTTCTCCTTAATATCAGTCCATCTTCAGTTTTCACATTGTACGATCTTGGGTTTACCTCCTCCAGTACAGTTGCTCTCTTTTCCCAGATGTTTGCATCTTCCACTCTGACTGCTTCATTGGGTGCGAGTGGTTTTAGACTTTTTGAGGACTTGTCAAAGTTGACCTTTTGTCTCTTCTGCAACTGTTTCATTTTGTCTCTCACTTGTTTATGTTTCCTGGTTGTTGTGTAAGGAAGAGTGGTCCGTAGTTTTCTTCCCATTAATATTTCTGCTGGTGACTTGCCATGCTCCAGTGGTGATGCTCTGTAGCTCAGTAGTGCCAAATAAGGATCTGCCTTACCATCTTGTGCTTTCTTTAGTAACTGTTTCACAATGTGCACACCTTTCTCTGCTTTCCCATTGGACTGTGGATGCAGGGGGCTTGAGGTCACATGTTTAAAGTCATATTCCTGAGCAAATAGTTGGAATTCTCTACAACTATAGCAAGGTCCATTGTCACTATGAACAATCTGTGGTATCCCATGTCTAGCAAATATTGATTTCATGTGCGTTATGACACAAGTAGCTGACATGTTGGACAATAATGCCATCTCTGGATAGTTTGACAAGTAATCAATAACCAGCAGGTAGTTTTTTCCTCCCAGGTGGAAAATGTCTGTTCCGACTTTCTGCCATGGTTCCTCCGGTATGTCTGTTATGGTCAGAGGCTCTTTTGGTTGTTTGGCCTGGTGTTTGATACACGTATCACAAGTTGAAACCATTTGCTCAATGTCTGCATTTATACCTGGCCAATAGACTGCTGTTCTGGCTCTCCGTTTGCATTTCTCTATGCCTAGATGTCCCTCATGCAGTCTTTTCAGGATGTCTCCTCTCAGTGAGTGTGGAATTACTACTCTGTTTTGTCTTAGCAGAAGCCCATTCACAACACTTAGTTCTGCTCTTATGTTGTAGTATGTTTTGCATTCACCTCTTGGCCATTTCCCATTCAACAGTGTTATAACTCTTTGCAGACTAGAGTCCTTTTGTGTTTCAGCCTTGATCTTATGTGATTTTCTGTCTGACACAGGAAGTGACTCTGCTACCAGGTTTACATGTATATTTACATCCATCTCTGTGGAGCTTTGCTCTTTGTTTGGGGTTGTGGCCCTAGAGAGTGCATCTGCTAACACAATGTGTTTACCTGGTGTGTAGATCAAGTTGAAATCATAGCGCTGTAGCTTCATCATCAATCTTTGAATGCGTGGAGACATTTCACTTAAGTTTTTCTTGATTATGGCTATCAATGGCTTGTGGTCAGTCTCTGCCACAAATGTTGGCAAACCATAGACATAGGTGTGGAACTTTTCAAATCCAAAAACTAGCCCCAATGTCTCTTTTTCTATTTGGGCGTAGCGAGATTCTGTCTCTGTCATTGCTCTTGAGGCATATGCCACTGGCCTCCAGTGGTCTCCATAAGCCTGCAACAACACTGCGCCGATCCCGGCCTTCGATGCATCTGTTGACACTTTTGTTTTTCTTTTTGGATCAAAATACGCCAAAACTGGCTCTGTTGTAAGTGTCTTTTTCAGTTGTTGCCACTCGTTTTCCAGTTCTTTATTCCATCTGAACTCGCAGCTATTGTGTAGAAGCTGTCTCAGGTGCACTGTTTTGGCCGCCAGGCTTGGGATGAATTTTCCAATAAAGTTAACCATTCCCAGGATTCTCAACACACCTTTTTTATCTTCAGGACGTGGCATTTCCAGTATAGCTCGTAGCTTTTCCTTGTCCGGCTCGATGCCTTCGGCTGTCAGCTTGTCACCGAGAAAGGTAATGTCACCCACGCCAAACTGACATTTTGCTCTGTTCAGTTTAAGTCCATAACGTTTCACTCTTTCCAAAACCTTTACTAGTCTCTCATTGTGCTGCTGTAGTGTGGATCCCCACAAAATGATGTCGTCCATATAAACTCTGACTCCCTCGATTCCTTCGATCATATGCTCCATGGTCCTGTGGAATATCTCAGGAGCTGAAGAAATTCCAAAAGGCATTCTCAAGAAGCAGTAACGCCCAAATGGCGTGTTGAACGTGCAGTATTTTGTACTGTCCTCATGAAGCTTGAGTTGCCAAAATCCTTGGGACGCATCTAGTTTGCTAAAAAATTTTGCACCAGCCATTTCACTTGTTATTTCTTCTCTTGTAGGTATCTGGTAATGCTCTCTTTGTATGTTAGCATTTAAGTCTTTCGGATCCATGCAGACTCTAAGAGCGCCGGTTGGTTTTTTAATGCACACCATGGAGTTAACCCATTCAGTAGGTTCTTCAACTTTTCTTATAACTTCCAGTGCCTCCATCCGCTCTAGTTCCTCTTTAAGCTTGTCTTTAAGAGCAGCTGGAACACGTCGAGGTGCACTGAACCACAGGCTGAGCTCCTTCTTTCAGCTTTATCTTGTAGGTGAAGGGTAAGACTCCAAACCCCTTGAATATGTCTGGGTACAGATCCACGATTTCTTTCACACTTTTGGGCTCAGAGCTGTTTATACTGTATACCCGTCTGACTAGGCCGAGTCTCTCACATGCTTTATCTCCCAACAGAGATTCATGTCCCTCTGGCACAATGATAAACATCAGACTGTGATATTTTCCTTTTACTTGTACCCTGAGCCTGCATTTACCTTTGGTTTTGATTGGTTCTCCATTATATGCTTGGAGTAAACTGTTATTTTGGAATATGTGTGGTTTCGTTTTCATCGCTTTCACATCCAGCTCATTCACCAGATTAGCCTTGGCTCCTGTGTCCAGTTTGAAAGTTACCAGGGCTCCGTTCACTGGTAACATCTCTGTCCATTTGTCCTGCTTCACTGTACTGACTGCAGGTTGGTCCATGGGTGTATCTTGCTGCATTACCATTCCCACAAAAAACGTGTCACTGAGAGCAGTTTCTTCTACTGTGTGTACTCTTTCTTTTTGTTTATTCTTTGAAAAACATTGCTTGGCAAAATGGTTTTGTCCATTGCATTTTTTGCATATTTTACCATAAGCTGGGCATTGTTTCCTTCCATGTTTTGTGCCACATCTTTTGCACAAGAAAGTGTCTTTTGATTCTTTCTGTTCTTTCTTGTACGTGCGCCCTGCCTGCCGTGTATTAACTGCAGCTACAGCTGTGCTTTCCGTGTCTGTTTCCCTCGGCGACCCGCTGAAGGTTTTTGCATGTTGTATGGCGAGCTCGCTGGCATGACATACTTTCACAGCACTTGCTAAAGTCAGATCCGCCTCTCTCAGAAGCCTCTCTCTTATCTTTATATCTTTTATTCCAAATACGATCTGATCTCTTATCATAGATTCTTGCAGCTGTCCAAAATTGCATGTTCTTGCCTTTAACTTGAGGTCAGTCAGAAACGTATCAAAACTCTCTGAAGGTTGTTGTATACGTGACCGAAAGACGTACCTCTCAAATGTTTCATTCTTTTTGGGCGAACAGTGTTCATCAAACTTTCTCACTACTTCGTCAAACTTTTCTTTGTCTTCTGCAGTTGCGAACACAAACGTGTTATATACTTCCACCGCTTGTGGACCTGCTACGGTAAGAAGCAGTGCAATCTTCCGTGTATCAGGCTTACTATCTAGGCCGACAGCTTGCAGGTATAGCATAAACCGCTGTTTAAAAGTTCGCCACTCACAGTCCACATTTCCGTTCCAGTTGACGGCATCTGGTGGCTTAACACTGTCCATGATGACCTGCTTTACTGGTTCACTCCTGGTACCATGTCGTGTTTTCAATAAAACATCCGTAGTAGTTAGCAAGCTTCTTTATTTTAACGTGGCTCACATCCATGTACGTAAAACATAACCTGCCGCTGCTTCTACAACACAGTATATATCACAATTTGGTTAGACAGCCCCCTAGTGGTAAAGCTGAACTACCCCCATAACTCCTATCAACACACAGCCTGTATAGTAAATTAATATGTAGCCCAATAAGTATAAAATCCAGAAAGCTACACAACATGGGGCGGTTCATTTACAAACACAGGTCTAACTTGAGTTTCACACAGTTTTTATTAGAAAACAATCAAATTGTTAAATGCTTCAAGTACACAAAATGTCAGAAATCTGCACCGTCATGAACAGAAATTTAAACCTAATTTTTCGTGATTTGTTGATTAACCCTCCGAGGTCTAAATCCCACGTTGTGCACATCAACATCACAGATTTGTACAAATAAAAGTTATAACAAAGACATGTTAAATATTAAGCACTGGAAACAGCTTGTTGTTTTGTTGCCATAGCGATGCCTCCAGGGAAAAGATCAAGGCATTTAAGCATGTTTTGAATGAAAACATCAGCATATGAACACAAAACTGAAGAGACACTGCAACCGTATGAAAGCAGACCACTATTTAGTGACATTTGACGTTTCCCTGAGGATTAACTGCTCGTGTAATCTACCAAGAACTCAAAGTAAGCTCAAATTTCACGTTTATAAACTAAGATCATTTACTTAAATATATAAAGCCTGATTTTCCTGCTGCCAGGACAGTATTTATGTACTTTACATTGTGCAAGACTAGACTATATTTTCCATCATAGAGAGGATGATGTGGATCTATTATTCAGGAAAACAAATGAAGACTTAACTATTTGTCAGCTGATGTAATATTTGACAAATGATACATAAATTAGAAAATGTTCTTAATCATATCTTAGAGTGACAGAAGCTCTTTTTAACACGATTATTTCTCAGATTATTTTGTTCATTTAGGATGAGAAAGTAAGTTCAATTATTTATTGCACACCACACCATAATAGACGGTAATGCTTTGTGTAATACCTTTCAAACAAACTATTAGAATTTCTGAGAAACTGAGCCTACGTGCACATGTACACGGCTATTTTTGAAAGCGCAGCTTTGTCTCTGCATTTGTCTCACAATTTGGTTAGACAGCCCCCTAGTGGTAAAGCTGAACTACCCCCATAACTCCTATCAACACACAGCCTGTATAATAAATTAATATGTAGCCCAATAAGTATAAAATCCAGAAAGCTACACAACATGGGGCGGTTCATTTACAAACACAGGTCTAACTTGAGTTTCACACAGTTTTTATTAGAAAACAGTCAAACTGTTAAATGCTTAAAGTACACAAAATGTCAGAAATCTGCACCGTCATGAACACAAATTTAAAGCTAATTTTTCGTGATTTGTTGATTAACCCTCCGAGGTCTAAATCCCACGTTGTGCACATCAACATCACAGATTTGTACAAATAAAGTTTATAACAAAGACATGTTCAATATTAAGCTCTGCAAACAGCTTGGTTGTTTTTGTTTGGAACATGTTGTTTTGTTGCCATAGCGATGCCTCCAGGGAAAAGTTAGGGATTTAAGCATGTTTTGAATGAAAACATCAGCATATGAACACAAAACTGAAGAGACACTGCAACCGTATGAAAGCAGACCACTATTTAGTGACATTTCGACGTTTCCCTGAGGATTAACTGCTCTGTAATTTACCAAGAACTCAAGTAAGCTCAAATTTCACTTTACAAACTTAAGATCATTTACTTCAATATAAAGCCTGATTTTCCTGCCTGCTAGGACAGTATTTATGTACTTTACATTGTGCAAGACTAGACTATATTTTCCATCATAGAGAGGATGATGTGGATCTATTATTCAGGAAAACAAATGAAGACTTAACTATTTGTCAGCTGATGTAATATTTGACAAATTATACATAAATGAGAAAATGTTCTTAATCATATCTGAGTGACAGAAGCTCTTTTTAACACGATTATTTTCTTAATTTAGGAAAATAGAGAAGACTTAAGTTTTCAAATTCAAATTTTATTTGTCACACACACACAACCATACACAGTATGACATGGGGGTGAAATGCTTGTAGCTGTACAATGCCCGACCATTTTGTTCTCACACAAACTATTAGAATTTCTGAGAACCTGAGGCTGCGTCCACATGTACACGGCTGTTTCTGAAAGCGCAGCTTTGTCTCTGCATTTGGGCCTTTGTCCACACCTAAACAGCAGATTGAGTCACTGAAAGGTGAGATTTTTAAAAACTCCTGCCAGGGTGGAGATTTTTGAAAACGACGTTTTTGTGTTTAGGTGTGGACGAGGAAAACGGACATTTACTCAGGCAATGTCAAAAGTGTGCGCCGCTGTTGACGCTGTGGCCACGTTAGTGTTTACATGAGATCAGTTTCTACAATGGCGGATGTAGACAACATACTGTGTCTGTTACTCTTAGTATCTGCAGTTTTGACACACTTACATCTACACACACAGATACTGTGCCTCCATTTAGAAACACAGAGGCATCAGACGTGGCTTCTACATTCAACACAGACGCTCTCCCAACCCAAATCCTGACGTCAGTTTGGAATAAATGTAATTTAAAGAAATTACATTTATGTATGCTGTATGCATTTTGTCCATTCCAAAGTTGTGAGTCTGTTCCAGCCAAAAAGCTGTCTTTAGTTATTAACATTTGAAACGATGAAGGCACGTGAAAGTAACACAGAATTAGCTGCTTTTCCAGAAAAAGACAAAAACTTCTCAGAAGTACGTAAGGTTTTATGAGGTTTTCCCACCCAGGCTTCTAGACTTCTGATTGGCCAACATTTCCACACGGTTAAGATTTGGCGTGTTCTTGACAGCGTTTCACTTTGTTTTTAGCGTTTAGATGTGGAAGGAGATATTTTTTCAAAACTGCACATGTGGACTGGATTTTTTTTTTTTTTAAACGAAAAAGGAAAAACGTCCGTTTTCAAACATAGCCGTGTACGTTTGGACGCAGCCTAAAGTCATCACCAAAAAAGCAAATTCTCTGAACATTCTGGGTTGAGGTTTAGTGATCATTGTTGTTTTGTGTTCCTTGTAGTCAAAATGAGTGCAAGTGGAGACGGACCACAAAATAACCAAAACGGTAAGCACATGTACTCAGTCTTGAAATTGATGAAAAACAGATTTTCAGCAGATAGTTATGGATGTTAATTAAAAGATTTAATGATCTTGCAGGCCAACAGGTTAACCCACAAAGGTTCCCAAATGGAGATCAGACCGCATGGGAACCTGCTAATGGCTTCCGAGACGATCTTATTTCTCTCATGATATTTTTGTGATCTGAATGAGCTAATAGCAGTATTATGGAACAATTATTTGATGAGTACGATGATGACGACGATGACGACAATGACGACGACAATGCGACGACGATCGGCAAGATGATCGACGACGACGTTCAAAATATCATGTGAGGGACAATAATGCCAATGTGACAACATGAACAGCACGGGATCAAATGCTGTGTGTCATTTCATGTTGGTGGCATTGAAAATGAGGAGGCATTTGAAGCCGCATGGATGTCCCAGTACATCCCAGAAGAGGACCTCAGCCAGGTGTTCCAGGAAGAGGTCTAGAGAGAGGGATGAAGAGATTTGGGACCAAACAAAAGAATGAGATGGAGCGATGATGACTCTGACCTTCTCTGCTTGTGACACTGATAGCGAGGGCTGTCCTCAGCAGGTAACAGAAGAAGAACCGCAGCCTGGTGGATCCACGAAAAGGTCCAGAGAGGAAGATGTAGACGAAGAAGAGCGTAATAGCAAAAAATCCAGGCTTGCAAACTCTGATTCGGGGACCAGCTCAACTGTGTACGACCACTCTGAGAGCAGCAGTGATGGACTTTTTGAAGATGCACACGAAGAGCTTGACAACCATGAAGCTGGAGGCTCGAGGAAGCGTTCCCGAGAGGACTTTGAGGAAGAAGAGGAATACTTGCCTGTTTGCAAACTTCGGAGATGTTCAAATGAGTCCAGCAGCAGCAGTGATGAAGAATAACACGATTTCGACGGGTTTCTTCAGTATCCTTTTAGTAGGCTGATGGCCTACTCAGGTGACCCTGAATCCTCCATGCTGCAATAAGCTGGGCATACACTGTGCGATTTCTTTCAGTCACGTTATTCAGCTCCTGCTCAAACTGTACGATTGACTCGCAGGGGTGAGAAGTTTGTGCCTCCATCGCGTGTGTCCAGATCACACACCGCACCGCCGTTCGACTCCATCTTTTCGCTCTCATTTCTGCGTTTGTGCGTGGGCAGTGTGAGACGCTGCGGTGACACCCTCAGGACGACCGGCAGGATTTCAAACAGGTTTGGTTTTCTTGCGAGCAAACGATTGATGATCGGGAGCTGGTCGTGAGGTTTTAATCGCTTCTCGTTACCCTCGTTATGTAGACGATGCACGACACACGATTAAGGCCAAACTCGGGACGACCCCCAAAACGGTCGCACGACTGAAAAATCGGCTCAAAATGGGCCAAAAAGAGCACAGTGTGAGCCCAGCCTAATGCTGCTGGGGGATTCCCATGATGCACTGGATGTGTCTTCCTCACCCTCTATGTTTAACAGACCTCTCTGTACTGAATTGTACTTGTGATTAACCTCTGGCTCTCTTCCACAGCATGTCTTTATCCTGTTTTCCTTGCCCCTCCCCAACCGGTCGCAGCAGATGGCCCCGCCCCTCCCTGAGCCTGGTTCTGCTGGAGGTTTCTTCCTGTTAAAAGGGAGTTTTTCCTTCCCACTGTCGCCAAAGTGCTT